TCCTGCCTTGCCCTTAACACTGCTATTTTGCCATTCTATATTGGGATAATTGAAATCCCCCATTATGACAACTCTGTTCACCCTACATCTGTCCGTGATCTGGTTGCAGATCTGCTCTTCTATCTCCTTCCCGTAATCTGGTGGTCGAGAGTAACCCTTATCAGTGTAACCACTCCTTTCCTATTTCTGACCTCTAACCAGATTGATTCTGTTGTCGGGCCCTCTAGTCTCGTCCCTTTCTACAGCTACAATTGTATCCTTAACTAATATTGCCACCCCTCCACCCTTTCTTCCTTCTCTATCCTTCCTGAACACATTATATCCTGGAATATTTATCTCCCATTCCTGTCCTGGCTTGAATCATGTCTCAGTTACTGCTACCACATCGTAACCCCCTACGGCCAGTTGAACCTGCAGCTCATCAACCTTAGCTACGTGCATTTAGGTACATGCATTTGAGGAAATTGTCCACATGTACCTGCTCTATATTTCCCCCTTGTCTTTTTCCTCTATTCCCTAATCTATTGTTTATCCTGGGATACCCATCCCCCCTCGCCACTAGTTTAAATTAGCCCCCACCAGCATTCGATAATCTCTTGGCCAGGAAGCTAACCCCTGCCTTGCTTAAGTGCCGCCCATCCGCAAGGTAATGATCCCACCTCCCCCAGTAGTGGTCCCAATTGTCCACAAAACGGAAACCTTTTCTGGACCATTTTTCCAGCCAGTCGTTCATACGCCTGATCCTTTCATTATGGTGCCCCGTTGCCACCTTGGATGTTCTGGCCTTGAGTTTGTTCCCCAACTTTTGATACTCGCCCTGGAGTATCTCAGCCCTCTTCTTCCCAATATCGTGGGTCCCCACATGGACCACGACTTCTGGACATTCTCCTTCCCCCTGAAGAATCTTGTCCACACACTGGGTAAAGTCCACTACCCTCGCACCAGGAAGGCAGCAAACCATCCTAGCCTCACGATTCTTATGACAGAAGATCCTGTCAGTGCCTCGTACTGTTGAATCCCCTATCAGTACAGTGTTGCCCATGTGATCCATGCCCCTATCCTGTTGGGACAGAATGTTCACTGCTGTTCTCACGGGAGGTTTCCACGCTCTCAATTGCTAATGCTGAGTACTAATTTGAGACCAGTACTCTGTTGGGGGTGCTCTGCCTTGCACAAGCCCTCTTCTTTCCCCGTCGCACTGTCACCCAATCACTTTTAGCATGTGGCTGTGTGTTGGGCTCCTCTGGGAGTGGTCCTGTTCCTGAACTCTGACCTCCCGTACCCCTCTCTCATGGTTCCTATACAGTGATGGGCTGCTATCACTGAGTCCTAGGGGAGTGAGGGTCTCCTCCACCATACTGTCCACGAACCTCTCACTGTCCCTGATGGAGCGTAGTGTTTGCACCGGGGCTTCCAGCTCAGCTATTCTCAGCTGTAGCTCCCTGATTTCCAGACACCTGTGGCAGATGAAGTCGCCCAGGCTTAATGCGCCCTCCATCGACACCCACATGTGACAGACCTCGCAGTTTACTTGCCACACCATCTTCACAACCTTTATATAGATACAAGGATATCTGGGCTCTCGGCTTGAGTGAGGCTCTCGTAGCTACCTCCTATTTATACTTTCTGGGTGCAACCCATTTCTGATTTGCTCAGCAGTAATTTGGAATTAACACCTAATCAAGTGATTAATCAATAAGTTACTTGTTATTGGCTACAGCTGCTCCCTGTAAAGTTACCCCACAAGACCAATGTACCAATGGTATCAGCAATTTTAACTAACACAAGACTTAAATACTTCACATGAGTCACTAATTGAAAGACAATAACGGCTAAAAAAGGAACCAGCTAACAGATTGTTACAAAGCAAGCCATAGAATTTTAAAAAAATAAATGCTACTGCTTCCTGTAGTACAGCTACTGAATACGATAAGACCCCAAAGACACTCGTTTGAACAATTTTTCAATTAGAAGCATATCAAGGTAACTAGTTTTCAAAGCAGCACAATAACAAATCAAGCCTCTTAATATTGTGTTAAATTTTGTATTCCAACTCTTTAGCTGAAGATGGATAACTTCTGAAAGACACTGCAATCCCAATCCTTGAAGATTTTTTCCAGCAAGTATGCAGGCTTCACACTACAGCCACATTATTTTTGTGAAGGTCTTATTTCCTCTTAAATATAGTGGTGACTTATCTGCCAAGGAGTACTGTTCGTATTCCTGTAGCATAGTGGTTAGCACACTCGTCTCACAAGCGAGAGGAACCGGTTTGATTCCCGGGCGGGGCGATTCCTTAGGCAAGTTTCCTAACTCCATACACCTTTGCCCCTAGCAGTAAGTAAGAACCTGGTTGTTAGTCGAATGTCGGATCACTTTCTGGGGGTTATAATTCCTCAAAAAAAATCTGGTCACAAAATCCACGACTATTTGTGGGACACTACTGTGTGCAATTCGCTGCCGAGTTTGGCCAACAAATAGTCAATGCACTTTAAAATATATTCTGTGAAGGGCTTTGAGATGTCTCAACAAGACGATAATGCACTATATCAATACAAAGATTATTATACGCGCACGCAGTTTAATTGCAATAACCTCACATATCCCTTTGAAAACATATCAGCAACATAACTCTTCTTGGAATGGGAAGGAAACATACTAATTTTTCCCAATATTTTCAGATAGTTTATCAGCTCTATTTTATTTTACCTACTTACCCTGACAATGTGTAAACAATATGGAGAACTGCAACTAAACGCCATATTCCTATCAAATTCATGCCGATGGTCTTAAATTTCTTTCAGAGAAATCTCTTCAATATCTATAATAATCCTTGCATTTAGCCTTTGAGATGTCTCAAACTGCTTCATAGAATATACTATAAAATAAATTCCAACTTATTTGGGGGGCAAAATGTCCTAACATAAAAGCCACTGCACAAAATTATTGAAATGCATCTGGCGCAAATTAATGTTGAAAGTAGTTTTCATCCTGTTATCCAGTCACACCCTTGTGAACAAACCATCTTATTTATCAGCATTTTACAATCGGTCAGAGCACTTTCTAAAGAGGAATATACAGGCTCGTCAGGTGACTCAAAATAAAATAAAATTCTACCCAACATACATCAGTTTGATCACCGCTTGAATTTGCTGCACCACCCATACTTGTGAGTTCCGCATTGTGTCACACACCCTGAATGCAGTCCACACAATAGTCTGTAATTTACAGTAAATCCTGTGGAATGTCCTCTCGACGCGAGAGGCGCCATCAACACATGAAGCTATAAATAACCATATTTGAACTGCCTCTTCACCTTTGCCGCCTCCCAGCTCCTGCTCATTCTGCCCGAGACTATTCTCCAAAGCAAAATCTTACAGAAGCAACGGGGGTGGGGAGACGGGACGCGCATACAAATAAAAAAAATCTCAATGTACAAATACAACTGAAATGAGGCATTGCAGGGAGGGGTCTACTGGGAGGATCCGGGTTCCCCCCGACCGGAGAGCGGCCATTAGCTGATCGCTTCAGTTCAGGGGGACCAGGATCAACATACGTTTGTGGCCCGAAGTCGACAGCCAATATTATGCGTCCCCGGGGTAGCGGAGTGGTCAATTTAGGTTAGTTTTTAAAACCGAGTAAGAAAAAGAATGTTTTGCGATTTAAAATAAAAATTTGGAAGCTGGGCACCCGCCCACGGCAGCTCTTACATAACAAAAACACGCAGAAGTACACGAAAAAAGTGCCTACATTTTAATTCCTGCAAAAACCTCCCCATCCCGAAGACCTTTTTCTTACACGATTTCAAAAGCATTAACCTAAGTTAGTCATTCTGCGCATAAAATCAGGCTACTTTGGGGCGTGTTGGGCTGGCCTTGGGCTACAATCGATTTTAATTTCTGGCAAACCTGCCGGTCACCACACCGAGAGAAAACAGCACAAACTTCCCGACATGAGACAGAAGTCAGGCTCCACACACGGTGCCGTGACCCCGAACAACCCAGACGAAGGCGACCGACCGGTTTATGCTGACTTGACTCCCACCATTTTGTTCCTCTTCCCTCCCAACCCGGCGACAACCACACACCGTACCGCCCGCTTCACAGCGTAAATCACTTTTTAAACAACGCTAGCAAGGGCGGGGAGAGGAGAAAGTCTGGAAATATTAAATCTCAGGGAGGGGTAAAAACAAACGTGCTATCATCTCATTGAGTCTAAACAGCAGAAGACAGCTCGCCGGGGCTATGCTACTCGCGCTGCCACGTCACGGCGCCCAGACCGAGCTTTTATTTTATTTGGAAACCCTCGCTTATGCTCCCGCAAACAAAACCTACGAGAAACGCAGACGGCAGCCATCAGTCAGTTAGCGACCGGAAAAAAGGACATCTAATATTTTTGTGGGCTTGGTTTTTTTAGGTGAGAGGGTAGGTTTGCGTTTTTTTCCCTCCTCGCACGAACGATCTGCCGTTAACCATCTCCTTCCCGCACTCTGTCTCGTCTCCCAGACTCTCGCTCCGGCTCCAACTGCTGCAGCGAGCACACACCCTTCCTCCCCCACCTCACGCGCCGGTCCCGCCCCCCGTCTGATTGACGCGAGGCAGTCGTTGAGCGACAGTCCGTTAGACCAATAAAAGGTGAACATGATCCGAGGAGCCGTCATCGGCCGGGACGGTTGACTTCATACTATCCAATCATAACAGGGGTCGCGACGGGAGGCGCGCTTCCAGGGCAGACATCCCGCCCCCGGGGGGAGGGTGTTGTCGGAATGTTGCACGTTCCAGTCCCGAGGAGGGGGGGTGTTGTCGGGGGGCGTGATCCCACCCCAGAGGGGGGGAGAGGGGGTTGTTGGATGGGAGAGAGAGGGCGCATTCCCACCCGGCGGGGAGGAATGTTGTCGAAGGGGAGGGCACGTTCCCGCCCAATCGGTCAGCCCCTGCGCCCAGTCATGGTGGACCCCGTGGCTTTTGTCAGGGAGGCCCCGCCATTTTCGGAATTGTGGGGGAGGGGACGACTCACTCACTCAGCGGCGCTGCTTAGTGACCGAGAGCTGGGCCCATTGCACACACACACACACACAGTAAACTATCGCCGGTACAAGTAGCGCTATCTCAGGAAGGGGGTCAAACCACAACAACCACACCCCCAACACACGGGAGTCCGGACTTTAAACCTGCACTCGGCAGCTCAAAATCCACCCCCCATCCTTTCCCACCCACACACACACCCGAAATGAGACAGCAGAGCCCCAGGCGGTGTGCTCGGGAAAGACTCGAGGTTTTATTCCAGGCCTAGTTGGCGAAATCCTCTAATTTAAAAAAATCAAAAAGCTAAACAGAACAAGTCAGACATTACAAGGGAAGAGGGAGAGAGCTCACTAGAGAAAAGCGGGGAGAAGGCAGCACTGTTCAGACACGATTATTGAGAGTAAAACCGGTGAGTTTTTCTGTTTATAATCGGGTTACCAAGCAGTTTTCATGGTTTTATTGGTGCTGTTGCTGGTGGTGGTGTTTACATGATGAACACTGCGCGCATTTACAGAAATACAACCCGAGATCACTCCAAACCGATCCCCCAACATACGTGGATATTCCAACATAGGAATACATCAGTAATTGTCAAATTTCTGTGGAGTTTACCCTTTCGTGTCCGTTCTCCATCTCACAGCCATTTCTTTCATCGCAATAGCATGAGGAGAGTCCGAGAGGGTCCAGGCCCATGGGCAGCTCTAACTCGGGGGAAGCATGCATGTCGATGCTAGGTTTTCTGAACCAAGCATTCCCTCTCTCAAATCATATGCATCCTACTCAGTCACAACGTGGCAATCGAATGATACGTTATATATAGCATTAATGTGATATGATGTATTATATATAATGTATATTTAATATATTAAAGTAGTTTTTTAAATAGATTACAAAGAAACATACAGCCAGTTACTTTCCAAAGGTGTGGATGATCTGAATGAGAGAAAATGTTTTAGTTGTGAGGCCAAGGAGGTACTACAATGCAGTAGTTAGGATGTGGTATCCAATTTTTAGTCTTAGTGGTGCGTTGGTGGGAGTGGAGAATTGTGAATATGGTTATTTCCATTTTTAGATTTTTATAAAAAAATTCTCAGAATGTAGGTTAAAGATTTGTTTTGTGGTGGGGGAGGTGAAATTATGAAACTATTTCTAAAGATAATGAATAGCAAGAGTAAAATTTAATTTATTCCTATTTTTATGAAAGTTATAACATAAGAAAACATGTTCTCGTTTGGGCCGCATGGTCCAGGGAGGAAACGTGTTGTCATAAATGGTTATTGGTCTTTGCAATTATCTGTCGATTGCAAGTTGGAGTAGAGGCTCTAGATTCCTTGGGGTGGGGGTAGATGGGTTTCCTTTTGACACAGAAAGGTGGAAGAAAATTACGAAAGCAGATTAGGGTAAGGATAAAATAATCAAATGCATACTTGGGATTTGAAAATGGTCCTTGTGTTGTAAATGCTTTGGTTTTGCAAGTGAGAAGATGGGAGATATGCGCAACAAGCCAAAAGCCTAAATTGTAATGTAACTAAATGGCCCAATCGTGTCCTTTTGTGTCTTTCCAGGAATAAAAGTAAGATTCCTTCCACATTTGATGTGTTTGTGTGTCCTGTGAAATGTACTAAACATCTGACCCAGAACGTTTAAACTGCAGTAGTTCAGACATGAAACTAAGACGCTGTGTTCTTATTTAAGCATACATTAATCTGCTCTGTTCATGTGAGGTTAGATCTAGGAATTAATAAGCCATCATTTGACGTTTTAAGACGATACAAAGTTAAGTTGTAAAATGTAAATAATCTAAAATATACAATTGTAAAAGCTAAAACCTCAGTTGACGTGGTGAAGATCCCCACCCCTCCCCCTTATACAGTACCTGCTATGGAACTGAGTCTTAAATCGCTGTGAACGTGCAACTCCAGTTCCCTGCGTTACAGGGAAGCCCTTTCCTAAAAATCTTGACTACCAGAACGAAAAACCTGATTTCTCATATTGACTTCAAACTGAACCTTACATCTTGCTACAAACATAGATCTGGAAGGTTGAATCTTAAGCTGCGTGATAAACTTCAAAGTCTCTTTCTTCCAGTGAAAAGATATCCTGAATTCATAAACCTAAACTCTGACCCAGATATTTACCCTTAAATCTGCAAAGAGGTAACTTATGCTGTGGGTGTGTGTGTGTATGTGAGAGAGTGGGGGAGGGGAATGGGTTTGTAGACTGCTCTCAGTGTTTGTTGGTTTTTGTCTGAAGGGTTTTTAAGGTTGCTCTTCGAATGGTTATTTGAAAATATTGGATTTTCATATCGACATTTTAGAAATTGTTTTATTAGTTAATCGAAGGTAAGATCAAAGTGATTTAACGTGGATAATTTGTTAATTGTGTATTTTACCATGCAGAAGTAATATTTTCCTGATCTACAAAAGAGGTTAATAGTATTTTTGACTTTTTATGAATCAGCTTTTAAAGCTGGATCTGTTTTGCTGCTTTATTTAGATCACTTAATTCCTATTAGCGTGTAAAAAAAGGTTTAAAATCGATTATTAGCACCCTGTGGTGCAATCACCGAATATCAAAAAAGTGAGTTTAATACTGGTTATTATGTGCCCCTTTTAATGACGGGGCGTGATCCTACTCCACACGGGATCAAGCCTTTCTAAGATCGGCGTCAGCGGAAATCGAGTCTGAGGCTTTGAAGTTATGGTAAGGCCGGTACGTCTGGGAGGCTGGGATTGTACTTCAGGGGCCTCAGTCCAAATGGTTGGCGATGAAGAGTCGATGCAACATTTTACTGGTCTTCTGTTTCCGTGGATAGGAAAGGTAAAAGTATTTTTATATTCATTTGAAATAGAGGTCAGTGCAGATTTCTCCCATATTGTATTCTGTTTTCTTTAATGAAAATGGGGGAGGGGTAGAACAACCATGTCCTCCTTACTAAAAATATAAACGTGGTAGTTTACTTTCAGTAATATTTCCCCCGTTTGTGGTGGACCTTTCATCATCTTATAATGTGGTTTTGATATTTAAAGTTGATCATGCTGTCACTAATTAGGAATTTCCATAAGAAATCGAGCTGAAAATTCCTGTACAAGAGCCAGGATGGGGGAAGGGTAGTGATGCTAAATCCAGTTTCACACAGTCCTATTTGATTCAGCACTGCATTTGTACAAATCCCAAGGTTTAAATATTGTTGTTAAAGTTTTTTTTATTTAGTCGGTGTAAGGTATAAATGAAGGGAAACTTTAAAAATGCAGATTATAATAGAATAAATGATCTATTTGCATTCAGTTCAGTGGGATACAGTTTTGCAGCTTTTCAAGGCCAGTTATGATTTTAATACAGCAGTTTGCTATTGGGAGCAAATGTTGATTACAATTTATTTTAACAAAACACGTGCAAATTGTTTCGGTGATTTATTTCTTGCTCTATTTACTGACTTAGAATAATGTATTTGATTTGGGGATCAATGTTGCACATTTATCTTAAAATTATACTGCCTGATCCATTAATTGAAGATGCTATGAAACCCAGATGAATATTTCCTTGCTTGGTCATGTCTGCTTTACGACATGTCTTGTCACAAAATGAAACCGTTTGGGATCTAAATTAGTGATTCACACATCACCTTAGTGACCACATTCTAAAACCATAGATTTACAAACGTAAGCTTTTAAAATGGCGATGAGTGGCTTTATTTGTGCTACATTTCTTTTTTGGGGGAGGTGGGGGACGACGACGTATGAAATAGTCCAAGACAGACTAAACAGTGAATGGCTTTGTGGTCGGGGACGGTCAGTCTCCTTGTTCCTACTTTTAAAGATTGTGTGTTGTAGTTGGGGGAGGGGAGAGTGTAAAATGCTACTTCACTGAAATACTATCGTGAACGGGATGCATTTATAAAATCACAGGATTGAAATTGCGGCAGAGACGTGATTTTTCTAGTTGTACATTTTAAAGATACCCTTTTCGGGATTAGGAGATTAATTTGAATGTAATACGTAAAATATTTCGAAACTCTGCCAGGTCACGTCCCTTTTGTGGATTGTGTGTATGGACTGTGAATGCTAGGTACAGTACGTGTGACGTGTCAATATACAATGTTATGTATTTAAAGGAAATATTACAAAGTAAGTAGCTGTATCGAAGTCCAGTTCGTACCTTTAGTGAAATTTGATCTCGCTCTAAATTAAGAATATTAATGAATAGGCAGATTGGTCGCGCTGCGCAGATCTGACTGGAGACGTGTGTACATTTTGGTATTTCTGTTTCGCGTAATCTTTCAAATAAATTAGTTACAATCTTGCAAATTCTTGGATTAACAGTTTCGAATTAGCAAAACGTATTTCAATGGAGTGATGCACGATGCGATGAAACGAGCGCTGTGTTTGTTTGGGCTTTGTGGAGCCTAGTAGTGCAATGGAGTTTAGGAAATGGCTTCATCCATTATTAAGATCAGAGGATGCGAGCAGATTCATTAATCACAAGATAAATAAACTCGATTTTGTAACCGGACATGATAGACAGAAAACAAAGATTGTAAATTCTCATTTTTTGAGTTAGGAGAAACTTTTACAATGGAGACCAGTACATAACACACTTTGTAAAATAATGAATCTCTAGAATCCCTGTCGGAGGCAGCTCGATTCAAGCCTGGGACTAGAGTATCTGATTTCGCAGCGTGGTTTACCTTTACGGCGCAGCGACAGAAAATAGATCAAAATTATTTGCGGCGATGTTTAAAACAAATCAGTGCTGTTTTAGAGTGAATAGCACTGGTTTAAGATCCGGAAGACCCGTTATTAAATTAGATCCGGGAGATTCTGTTGGTTTGACCTAAGTTATGGTGAGTTTGCAAAGGCTTCATCTCAAGCTAAATAAAAAAGGGGAAAGCTGGTGATTTCATAATGTAATTTAGGGCGCAGAACCACTTGGCCAGTGGTGAAAATGGCTGCTGTTGCTTGTGGTCTCGCTGCCTGGGTGGTTCCTCTGCCCTGTAGCTGGCCATTACCATATAAGAGCGTTGTCACGTCCTCTGCGTGCAGCTCCTGGGAATATTTACCTAGTTCCGTTGTGTGGTCCTGTATAACCACTTTTTGGAATGGGCGCTATTTTTTTCAAAAAACAACTGCATGAATAGTTTAAATGCTGTAAAACGCCATTATAAAATAAATTGTTAACCAGTTTTAGTAACCAGGAAGTGGAAATTTCCTACCCACTCCCAAGTAATTTAATTTGATTATAAATACTAATTGGAGCTGTGAGCTGTAGAATTAGAGATTTTATACCGCACATTCGCGTAGTGAAAACAGTATCCTGTCCAGTTTCATTCAGAGATGATGCCTCCGATACTTTTTGTCAAGCAGGAAATGTGGGGGACAAACAGATGGAAGTGGAATTTACTGAAACTAT